CTGCGGCTGAATCAGACAAAAAAAATCTGAATCACCTCTAGGTCATGGACCCAAACTGCTCACCAAAGAGACAGCAGTGGAAGTCCATTTGGACCTGAGTCATTAAGCACATGGTGGAACACTTGCTGTACATATTCATTGTACATAAAACCTACCACAATTCATCAGATACTTTGGAGTTGGTCACGTTGTAGAGCACAGATTAAGGAAAAAGTAGAGAGCAATTAACCCATTTCAGTCCTAATGATATTAACTAGAATAACAGTTTGTACAGATTTTATTTTTTAAATTGGTTTGTATGTTCAGAATTAGGAAAGAAAATTTGATTAAAAAGTTTTGAAAAACAAACAAAACTGAAAACAAGCTTTTAAAAAATCATTACACCCCTCCATATTAAACTGCTTATTTAAGCTTTCCTCTGCCAGTTACTATTGTCAAAATATACAGCAGTAGTTAATAAGACAAGACTAGACTTAACTGTTGGCTTTCATAATAAAACATGAAGATAAAAATGAGGCTTGGTATAATTTATAAGAGAGAAAATGATGTACTAAAAGCAAGACACTAAATCAATTTTAAACACCAAACACAATTTATGTCTGACTTTAAAACTCATCCTCCAAACATTAATCTAGACAAAGGCCAGAAACTGAATGAGGCATAATTTGTGAAACTGATACCTTTCATCATAACCTTTAGCTGAAAAGGTCATTAGATATATTATATCTAAGTGAGCAGCTTATCCCTGCTTCATTACTGATAATTAAGGCAAGTAATATTTTCTTGACAGTAATGTGTCCAGTAAGAGATATCGTCTAGTTTGCATAAACCAGACATTAATTACCAGACTAGTATCAGAGATAAAAAAAATTAAGTACCTGTGTAACATAATTTCATTATTTTTTCTTCATTTCCTTAAAGAATTAGCAGGCTCAGAAACATAATGAGCATATTAAGAAATCCATTTTCAAGCATTTATTAAAATCCTTATTACACATTACACAAATATATTTTTGCACATATATAAACCAAAAATGAAGGCATCTTGAAATACCCACATAATTGAGATATTTTGTCATCCCGCTTCACACGGCAACATTCGATGGTGAAGTACAGTTATCAAATAACAGGTTCCTATTTTGGACTTCATTTCAAATGTTAAGGCTTTCATAGAAATGCAATCACAAACGAGTCCAAGACCTCTGCTCTGCAACTTCAACTCGTGTAAAGGCTGTTTCACCTTATTTGCATAAGTGGTAGTTTTGATGTTACACGGAACAGAGTGTGGATCAAGTATCCATGTGAGGATGACAACTTTGCCACTCAGATCATAATCTATTTAACCGGTCTCATTTCTCAGCAGAAATGACTTTCAATGTTTTTAAAAGCTATATTGCACAGTGTTTAACAGAAGAAAGGAGGATTAATTACCTGTAATGGTTCACTCTCCAAGGGATGTTACCTACCATACTTCACTCTATGATAACCCAGGCAAATGTTGTCTAGAGGGATTTTACCCCGCAGTCAGAAGGGGTAAATGCTGTTGTCACTCCATGCCTTGCAGAAGCCACAGAAATCATACCTTATCCTTTTTTCCCTTGAACTCCTCTTCCCATGAACATTTGCATCATGGGGGCTACAAGTAGGATTTCTCCAAAAGCATCATTAATTTAGAGGAAAGTCCAAGAGTCCCTTGTTGGACAGGAATTGGCTTCATTGTTATCACGAAGCCTGCTCCCTACCAGACAGAATGAAACTATGAGGTGGTCTCAAAAGAAGATTCCCTGGGCTTTCTAGGGAAAAAAATGGCCTTAAAGGTCAAAGTTAAGGTAGAAACAAGATGGATGGGAAGGAGAGGAGGAAGACTGTCACAGAGCCCTGTGGCAATGAAAAAAAGCTGTCCTTAAAAAGCAGGTTAAGCTGTAAGAGATTTATAGAAAGAGCCGTCTCTCTGTCTCTGCTACGTGGCATATACAAAGTATGGAAAGGATTGACACAACCCCTACACAGCTTTTGGAGAAGGCAGAGTGCATTTCTGAGTGCATTTCTGCTCCAGACACCTTGTGGATGTCTGTAGGGCATCAAATGGACACAGTCAAAAACAGTCAGAGGAGCACTTCTACTCATGTTATTTGTGCACATTATTCTGAAACGGTTAATGTATTAAGTTGACTGACAATGTGTTATCACCATAATCATTTGTCAGAAACAGACCTTAAATCCTGGAAAGTTAATTGAAAGATCTGTTTCGTGATAACCATCCAATGATAAAACAGCATGAAAGCTAAATTAAGGCAAAATGGGTGAGTACGTGGAAAAAACCAACGAAGAAATCTTTCAGCAGCAATTGACATTATTAAAATTATGATCTAGTCTGTTTTTGAAATTTGCAATATGCAAAATAACCATTTTGCATCAAACACAGAATCATTATTTGGGTTGAAGGAAACGCAGGGAAAGTGAGGGTAAGACAATGACCATGCCTGTATATGCTGCCCCCTTCACCCCTGAGGTGAGACCATCTGCAGTTGTAATGAACGGTTCTTCTTCCTCCCCAAGGACAAAGATCAACTGATAACAGTGAGCTTGTGAGATAAAGTTCTGTGAACTTGTTTGGCAGTTGTGATAGTCCGTAGAGTTGCAAGTCCATGTTGCAGCTCCACCTTTAGGTGAGACCACATGACGTTAATGGCCAAAGCACCACGAACGCAGAGAAAGCCACGAACCTCAGTCTCTGTGAGTACTAGTCAGACTCTGGTCCAGATGCTGGGTACAGGCTAATTACAAGTCCAACAGAAAGGTAACCAAAGTGATTACATTTAAGGAGGAAGTTCACCTAAACTGGAAAATATTGTCACTTCAACCCCAAATAAAGCTATTGATGCTCTCATTGAAAACTGGCTATATTCATCTGTGCAATCTTGCCAAACTTTCTTGTGACAGCAGGACCCAAAATAGCATTTTCCATGGCAGATGGCCAGAATATTTCTGCCTTTTCTTTTGGATCAACTCCTTGTCATGGCCTGGTTACCTGTAAGCTAAAACACCACAGGCAGTGGCCATCTAACAGCATGGACCAAAGCAACGCTCACACCATGACTTGCTACACCCCTCATGCCATAAAACACTTGTGCTTGACTACTTTGTACCTTTCTTTAATCCCAGAGAAACTTTGATAGTGGATCTTCTTGTTAAAATTTACCTCTAATGTTTTGGTAAAACCTCAAAGAACTCTAACATCTCACGGACTGAAAACCAAGACAAAATCCCAAATTTTAATATTCTATTTTGGCATCTCCTGTGATGGAAAACGTCCTCATTCTTTCCAGTTTCTTGGGTAAAACAAGTGACAGCAACCATTGGCACCTGGCAGACAAAACAACTGATGTTACTTTTACCCTAAGTATCCTGAATTCAGTCCTGAAGTTGTTGATTGGCCTCCAAAAGCTTTCTAAATTAGAACTATCGTTCTTTAATTTGAGAACAGAACTGCTGAGTTAGTGACATGTAAAACATTGCTCATTGGTGTCAGCATTTGTAGGATTATGGCATATGATACTGCAGATGGCTATTTATTTATAAAGAATAACACTATTTCAGTACTGAATTATTCATATGTGGTGTAATATTGACAAAAATCACTTGCGTGTATATCCTGAAACATTTGCTGTTTTCTGTGCTGTTACAAATAATGACTTCATCCATCTGGTTTTACTCTGTATTTTGGTTATAAAATGATCTGAGTAAAAACACAAATCAATCTCTTGCAGCCTGTTCATAGAATCAGTATCTTTTAATGCATAATCATATAGAAAACAATTTATTAATATCTCCTATATGCCAACAAAGGAACTTGTTCTCTTAACTGCTATTTTCCATTTTGCAATACATAAATCTTCAGAGTGAACTTTGAAAATTTGAGTTTATGGGTTCTGGCTGTAATTTGATTGTGAGATCTGTATTTTTTATTTTTTTTTTGGTACAAGAGTGAAACTGAGGCCCAAAGTAAACTGAAGTAAATAATTCCAATTATAAACAAAGCTACTTAAATATTTTCAAAAGATAGAAAACTACAAAAAAAATAGAAAGTCTAGGTTTTCTGTCCCACTGAACTGAATATACACTTGTTCATGATGTTATAACTCATTGCTCCTAAAAGTTTTGTCTTCATCTTTGTACTTTCCTTAAAGCAAGGAAATTTTTTTTTGCAGGCAATACAGTTGTATATATTAATTCTAATTTTGCTGCATATTTTCATGTAAGAGAAAAATTGAGAACAAAACCCTCATAACGACAGGTGTAGAAAAATGTAGAAAAATGGGAAGTGGGAATGAAAGATAAAGGATTTCAAAGGTGATAAGGAAAACAGTCTTGGAGGCACGTGGAGAGACTAAAGGGAAGAAGGAGAATGGAAAACCCCCCTCATAAATCCACCCATTTTCCCTTTGTAATATCACAATACATTTTACAGGTCTTTTTTTTTAGCTTTCTTAAAATGGAGCTGAGAGTGTGTTACATTTATACTCTTCTTCTTTTCCCAGAAAAGATCAGATCATGAAAACCATAATCCAAAATCTCTCCAGTAATTGCTGCTTCGGGACTTGGGCAGAGCATCCATAAACAACCACTCCTGAGAGCAGTACAGTGTGAAGCCAACTCTATATTTCTTCCAGTGTATAACTTTGTACCTCTGCCTTAGGAGGAAGCAGGCCTTACGTACATTTGAGAAATGCATTTCGGCATGAATTTCATTGTGAACACTGATTAACCTATCCTAAGGAAATTTTACCACTGTCACTGAGATAGTAATGCAAACATCAGTAATTTTCATTTAAATATCAAGTCCACCTTTTAACTGTAAATTGACTCTGGAAAAGTTCTGGATCTGGAGTGCTTAATAAGACTAATAAATTTTCTATAATGTATACAGATTGTTCATTTTTTATCCCAACAATTTGCTTAAAGTGATAATTTCATATCATTCCAGCAGACACAGTAACTTGTTATTTTTACTAATATTTTATTGTTCTTACTTTCCATCTATTTCTTTTTGATTTGGCAGTTACCATGACATGTTATTTTTCTAAGAGTGTTATTAATAGATATAATGGAATATTTTTTCAAATAAGAAATGTAATGCCAGAAACCTGGAGAACCTCAATAGATACAATGGAATATTTTTTCAAATAAGAAATGTAATGCCAGAAACCTTGAGAACCTCACTGGAGATCAAAGGTGTAAACTTATGCTGACAACTCCTCCTAATAAGTCTTTGCTTTTCACAGCTCACCTCAGAGTAAGAGGCAAAAATTACCATTTTGCGCTCAAAATGCTACCACTACATCTTCAGGTTCTCAAATCTTAATTCAGAAAGGGCAAAATTCAAATTTAATTTATTGCCCAACTGGGGAGAAAAGCTCCCAAATCCAGCCACTGCTGTCAGTCATAAAACCAAAGCCGCGCTTGCATAATTACTTCAGTGTTAATTTGACTGGAAAACAGACTGAACTATTCTGGATGACTGTACAAAGAACAAGAGATGGAATCAGATTTTGGTTTTAAAAGTATTCTAAGACAGACACATTATTTTTCTCTCTCCATTGTTCAGTCAAAACATTAGGCTTAAGATGTGTTTTTGAACGCTGGGGAACGATGCACGGGCTCCTGGAGGATGTTTGCAGTGGGTTTCTTCCAACATGAGCGTGCACTCCTTGTGTTCCACACTTTCCCCTGTGGCAGAAAGGGAGCAGTGAAGGGACCACTACAAACCAGACAGCTCTCCAGCAGTTTTAGGCCATGTACTCGAAAAACCGTGGTGTTTTTTTTTTTTTTTATTGTAGATTTTGACAAATGGAAAAATCGTGTCGGAAATTCTGACATCAAAACCTGCAATTTCATGCTTCGTGTATACAACCTCCCTTTAGATGTAAATACACGTGAAAGTAAATACCATTTACAATTTTTCCGCTTAAGTTCAGTACTGAGCATTTTCTCATGTTAATTATCTAGAGAAAAAAAATCCAGGAAAAAAATGGCACTTTATAAGTGAAGGACTTTGGACTTTACAGCCTATTTTCATAGGGTTCATTACATACTTGCAGCTTTGGCATCTACATTACCTTAATATGTATTTATTCTTCTTCTGCACATATGAAATTTTAACAAAAATTACCAATACTACATTAAAACATTGAAACAGCTAAACTTTTGCTTAATTTACAACAGTGACTGATACCAACCTGGAATACATTCTGACAAGAAGCCCATCTGATCTGTGAAACTAATTTCTTTGGTTCAGCATTCAAAAATGAATTTGTGTCAAACAAGAAAAATGAAACTATCCCTAAGTAATAGCAAATTTACTATATTCCAGCATCTTTAACAGTTTCTGAAACACTGCTCCAAAAAAAGGAAATTTTATTTTAACCACAGTAGCAAGTACAGCCTAAAGAATGCTTCAAATAAACAAAGTTTGGAGATCTGAGTTAATGAAGATGCACACAAGATGATAATGCAAGATTTTGTGAATATCATGAATATTTTCCTGTATAAATTTCTCACACAGCTTCTTTTAACTCTTCAAATTTTGCTTTTCAATACCAGGTTACAAAGTTCTAACTAACACCATTTTTACTCATGTACATATGATCAGAATCTTTTTTTAAGAAAGTTGGTAATCTTTTAATTATAGAAGAAAATTCAAGGAAGAAAAAAATCAAGACAAAATCTAACCCAAATTTCTGACACTGCTGAGATCAGTATGAAGAATCCAACTTCATACATGGATCTGCTCATGTGATGTAGCAAATTTGCTTTACTTAGAAAACTATTGAAAAAATTGGATTATTTATGTGATAACTTATTCCTGGCCTGTTCTTGGGATGGAGATTTCTGAATGGGGGAATTTCTGTTAGTTTTGCTGTTTACTTCCTAAACTGCAGACAAAAAAGCAGGGAAGGAACCAGCACAGAATTCAACGTGAGAATTTCTCGTTCACTTGATGTGCAGTTGAAAAATGGCAATTTTTATAAATGCAATCCCCAAACCCAACCAGTTTAGCATGAGGCTTAATGCCTGAATTTCTTATTTTGGGAAAATGTTTCAAAAAATACCCTTGTTTAATGCAAACCCATGGCTATTACACAAGCTTAGTCAACTATTTCTGTACAACACTCGGTAGGGCTGTGCAGTAACGCTCCTGTGGAACAGCTGCACTGACACAATGGGCTGCAGACGTTTTTACTGTCCTAATAATCCACATATTAAAGAGTCCCTAAATACTCATTGATGCGACAGACCATAACAACTCCCTTGGAGCTGTTTCAGTTTATCAGGTCAGTGATCTGCATACTGAGGATTCCCCAAGTACTCATTGACAGGTAGCATCTCATATACACTTGTACTAAAATAATAATTGCTTCAAAGGAACTGTTAAATCCCAGTTGCAAGAACAAATTAATTTAAAACCACCGAGACAAGCACTTTGTTTTTTTCTGAAGCTCTGACAAATCTAGACGAATTTACTAGACAAATCAAGACATCTGAGCAGAACAACCATTCTCAAATGTTATGGCTGTTTTGCATTGTGGTTAAAAATACCACCCACCTTGTTTTCAATGAATTATAATCACTACCTTTCTGCTAGGCAAGGGTGACCTAAAACCTGTCCCCGACACTGTTATAAGAGAATGAATTAAAAACCTGCTATAGAGTTAATAATCTTAATTGAAGCCTCAATTCATTGTTCCTTGTGTCCTCACTTTCTTTCACTGTGTGGTGTTTTCTCCTGTCCTCACCTCTTAACTACAACTCACTGAACCCCTTATTTTTCCCTTTCTCTTTCCTTCCACACCCCAACAAGTGTTCAGCCTTGTCAGCTCAGATCCCATTAATTTCTTACTCTTTTGTTACTTCTCACTACATTTATGCTCTACAGATAGGAGGAAAAACTAACAGTTTAGAAACCTTTGTACACAAAAGAACCTGTAGTGATTTACCTGTTCCCACCCACTGCATCATGCAATGACAACTGCTTCACACTCTAGACAACTTTCTGGCTTGATCTGATTTTCAGACAAAGCTGAGCATGAAGCATTCATGCAGACTACCAAAGAGAGTGAATGACTGCATGGAAACTGCCTACAGTCAAAATACAGCTCCTCTAAAGGCAGAAGGCCAGAAAAACAGGCTGAATCACAATGTTGAACTAGAACACCTCAGAGTCAATGCCCATGATGAACTTCAGCCTGATAATGCTATCTATCCTCTGCCATTTGGTACAGGCAGCTGTATATATCTATATAGCTCTATCTATCTATCTATATATATATGGAATTCTTCAGGGCTGTCTGATATTCCTGCTAACTCTGACATCATTTGTTCCACAGGGCTCTGAAATCAGACAGTTCAAGTATTATTTATAGGCCAATCAGGAAGCAAATCAACTACATTGCTTGTTTATGTCACTTGCTTTTTCTGACTCATTTATGTGAGGGCTACCAGGACACAGAGATCGAGCTGACATTGGTTGTCGTGTGTTTCTGAAAACATTCTTCATGAAAACTGTACTTCTAAATCAGATGAGGCCTCAATCAAATGTACATTAACAGTCAGGGGAGATGCAGTATTCCTGCAGAGAACTCAGCAGCTGAAAGCTGATAGTCAAACCAAGGAACCAAAAAAAGATGTGGAAGTACCAAAACCCCCAGACAGATCCACGACTTACATAATACTGGCTATGATAATGGACACAAAGAGATTTAATTGAAGAGATAACAGGATATCTCATAATAGTGTAACACTAACACTTAGACACTGCAAACTCAGACTGTGAGGGTTCATTTCTCAAAAGTTAAATAGCATCATAAAAATGAAGAAGAAAGCAATATTTTTTCCCTTAGAACACTCCTAATATGTATCCTTTCTCATGGGTCTGTATATTTTATATTTCCCTTGCAAAGATCTGAGTTGTTTCTCTGCAATCTTTATCATCTTGATAAATCCAGACATATTCTAAACATTACTGCAAAGATTATTTTTCTAGTCCAGTGATTTTGGTTAGGAACACCAATGTTGTTCTGCCCTTCCTTTATCCCATTTTTCACTGCTGAAGCAAACACAAACCACATCTCTTAGTTTTCAAGGTCCTTGCAATTTAACATCAATTTAAATATCACCTCTTAAACAGCAGCATTCTTACTCACTATCTGTGAAATCTATTTCTTGTTTTCTCTTCTTAGGTTTGGGATGTAAAACATTATTCTTGCTGCAGCCAAAGGATTAGAGATGGAGTCAGGGGGTGTGTATTGTACGTGTAGGTCTCTCCACAGTAAAATTAATTTTCCTTGCAGAGTCTCACTTGTAGTAGCAAACAGGGTCAAAAGACACAACTTGCAGAACTCTTCTCTAGATTTCTCTCCTGACACTGACTCTGTTTTCCTTCTTCTTTTCCCTTTGCAAAAGAAATGGGAGAAAATGCAAGGGTTTTCCTCTTCCTGTACGTCTCGGTTGTACAAGAAGTTTCTGATTGCTGCAGGACTTGGCAAAGATGAAGAAGGCAACCACACAGAGGAAAAAGATTGAAGGTTCTTGAGGGGCTGCTGGAGGAAGAGGTCATCGTAGGAAAATGGCATTTTACCAGAGAAGAAAGAGAAACTGGAACAGTTATACCATGAGCTTTTGTTCAGCTAAGACATGGGACCAGTGACAGGGACTGAGATCTGGGTTTTGATGACAGACTTAGGAGAACAAATGAACCTGGTTCACTCAACAAAGCAGCACATCACCCTTCCTACTGATGAGAAGGAACTTCATTGCAAGGGAAAAAGGGCTTTACTTTAACAGCGAGATCTACTCATCATCTGTGGTGTTGTACAGAGCCTGGCACGGTTGGGATACTAAAACCTAAACCTTTCAGCACGAAGGATGGAAGAAAAGGGGACAGAGATCTGGCAAACAGATGTTTTTCTTGTGATCTCCATTCAGCCAAGTGGTACACAGCCCTTATGCACTTGATGAGATATCCCAGTCCAGGTCCAGCAGCTCAGCACTTCACTGGCAGTGTCCCAGTCCAAAGGTCAACTGCTTCCCATTAAACAGAAACACACAGTACATTCCATGTGTGTGTGGCAGACACCTATCACTGTCCGTACAACAGAGCTTCACAAATGCTAATAATTGTTTTTAGAATGAAAGTATCCGAGCACATCAACTGAAGCTGGGTTTGCACACCTTGCACTTGCTGTCATCTACAAGACATTACATAAATATATCACTTTGTGTGTTTTGATAGAATGATAGAACGAAAACCCAGTCTCTTAACTGCCCCTCCACCCAACCTGAACTCTATCTTGGTGAAGGCATGGTCTTAGGATTACTTTGTCCATCCCTGCCCTATTAAATTTGAGAGCCTAAACATCAGGGAGAGCACACCTTGACTGTTTACCCTTGGGTCTAAACTCTACTGCACAGTCCAAGCTGCACCATGACAGACTGTTCCTTGCCAATCAGCCTCCTGTGTCCTGAGAAGGAGGTGTGGTAATCCAAATCAACAATTGTCATTTGCTACTACATTGGTAGAACTTCTGGAACTATGACAAGTCCAACAACAAGAGTCTTTATTCACTATAATATGAATGTATCTCTGATGACACACTAAGAAGCAAACAGAAGTAGATGTCCTGCGTATCAAAATACAGCAAACCCCCTCTTTAAAAATGAGCATATAGATG